CCCCCCCCCCCCCCCCCCCGACATTAGCAGACGTGCTTTCAGATGTTAATGTTTATGAAGTCGCACAATTATGTTTTAAATAAATAACTGTTATAACTTATAAAGCGCACTTTTCTCTTGATTTGTTTAGGACAAGTGTCTCTGTAACTGTTATCTTCAAGTCACTACTCATGGATGCCAAAAGAGTTGATCATTTCTTAATCTTTTCATGATTCCAATAAAATATAAGTCCATTTAAATGAGTCAGCTGATTGATGAGTGTATGTAACATTATAAAACTATTATAGCATGGCCCCTTTAAGACCTGTTGAGGGTAAAAATACAGGTAGAGTTTATAGTAGTTCGCACAAAAATTTATAGAGTTGAGAACAGAAAAGAGTATTTGGAAAATAAATTTGTTAAAATATTTTTTTTTTTTATTGCAGATAGGACGAGGCTGCAATTGAATCATTCTGAGATGATAACCGCTCAGACGCATGTTTGCAAGTGAGTTGTTCTCTGCATTAGCATGTTGAAAATGCCAATGCACTTTTCTGTTTATAGTTCTGAACTCCTAGACTTTTCTTTCCTCTTTTTTTCCAACTAATGTGGGACCCAAGCTTTTTTTTAAGATTACTTTTTTCAACACAACCCTTGAAATAATGCCTAAGTAATCATATTGGTGACCCAATATTTGGACAAGGGTATTGTATATGAATCTTGTTTCTCTAGCATAATGATGAGTTTTGATAAATTTGACCCTTGGAGGCATGCTTATGACATGATTCTGTTATATTATTAGCCCCCAAATAATTAGAAAAATATAAGGCTCTAGTAATTCTCTTATTACTGGAACAGAAAATATATTTAGGGCTTACCTGGTTTCCTTACTGGAGTGTTGTGCCTGCAACTCCTGTCACCAATTTTTGTTGGTTGCAGCCAATCTAGTTAGATTTCCCCCTATTAGTGGTGTTGCTTTCACATCTGAAAAATCCATCTGGAGTTTAGTAGACTAGACACCGGAATCCTCATTGACTTGATCAACTGCACCTCGCTGTCTTTGATTGTAGGCTATGATGGATAGGATTGTGGTGGTCTTCTTAATCTCTTATCTTGGTGCTATTGTAATGGCTGAAAAAACAATGAAATATTCTGGATTTATCCTAGCCACCCAATCAAATCTTATTGATTATGTGGCTTGATGATATGAATTCTTTATTTCGGTGTATGTGGATTCAAGTGTACTACGATGTTTGTTCTCATTTTTTTTTTAAAACATGTATCCAAACACATTCTCTGTTGTCCTACATGCTCCTGACATTGGGACTCACCATTTAGAGAACAAATTTGTGAAAAATTCCCAAGTTACAGAATTTGGCAATTTGCAAACTGTGCATCTCTTTTGGCTTTGTAAACACCGAAAAACCATATATATTACATAGAATAAAATATGTTGATTTCAATTGTCAATGCCTTGCCAATGTTCTAAATTCACACCATTATTTAAATAAGCTATTTATTGATTATTGATTAGACTATGTTGATGCTATGCCTGCCTATTGAGTGATGATTGCTTATTCATTGTGTTGGACATGGATGCTGATAATTACTTTGAAATATGTCTTCTGCCTGATCATATTCTAGAAGCTGCACAGATTGAGTGTTTTAAATGGATAATAGATTTCTCGACTTCATTTTCTTTCTTAGTTTAAATATTGTTATGCTTTACATAATTGCTCTGTCTGCATATTCTTTCAATACTATATACTGAATAGAGTGACCTGATGGATTTTCATTGATGCAGTGAATGCTGTGACAAATTAGTTTCATTTCTCTTGTACTGGTTTCGGATCACATTACCAAAACACGTAAGAATCTGTTACCTCAATCACTTGCCAATCTTGTAGTGACCCCACCTATTATGGAGGGATGTTATTCTTTTCTGTTTATACTGTTAGTCAGTTACCTTATACTTTTTCAATTTCTATCCTTGGTAGTGTAGGCCTTGGTAATATGCTCCCAAAAAATGGTGGATGCCTAACATAAGAGCATGGTGTTCTTTATAGTAAATCAACTTGCAATTAAATGAGAACATGGTTCTACCTCTTTATAACTTCTAATGCCAGAACTTTCATGGTCAATTAATCGAAACAATCATAGAAAAAATTCGTTTTTTTCCTAGTGTGGTTTCTGCAATATTGCATAAGAGATCAGTGTTGGGGAAAATTTTCTACTTCGGGTATGGAGTATTCAGTACTCCCTGCCACAGTGGTCGTTATAAACTCGTGTGTTTGATGGATTTAGATAGTTTTAGCATTGCGACTGTTGTAGATAATGAAAGGGAAGAGAATATTAACTATTCATTTTAAATGCATTCATGTCTATGCTTCGCCTGTCTTCATTTATGTACTACAGACTTGCCAATGTGTTGCTTAAGCATTTGATTTTGCTTTTGAGTTGTGTGTTGAACTTGTATATGCTTGTACAGTTACTACCCCCTGGAGCACTGGAAAGGGAAAACTGCTGGTATGGATATGCCTGCCGGACGCAGCACCATAATGAAGAACACGCACGCAAGAGAAATCATGTTTGTCGTCCAACGAGGGGTAGCCATATGCTGTAGTAACGTATGTTTTCTTCTGTCTAGACTTTTGAATTGTATACTGAATGGGAAGTACATGTATAAATTCATACTTTTGATCACCCTTTTTGTGTGAATCATTACTTATAATCACTATGTTTTTTCCCAACCTCTTTCTCGTTTTCTCCTAATTAAAAGAAAGTGAGAAGCTTCTTGAACAGTATTGATCTTCCTAAGCATCGGCGCTCAGCTTATACTAAGCACTCGATTGACATTGCACACTACAATAAGTGGTGGGAGATAATGGTTGTTTACAAAATTGATTACATGACATATTGTAGTGTCATTTCACATGGTGCTTAACATAACATAAGCACCGGTGTTTAAAGAGATCAATTCCGACTTCTTGAAATATTAAGGCCCATCTACAATATTTCTACTCGTATATTTTAAGTCGGTTTCGGACATAACACTTTCAGAAAATTATCAAAAATGGTTGAAAAGCAGTTTTTTTAGTTTTAGAAACATCTTTTGACTTTTCAAAAATCTTGTCAAATGAGATGTAAAACACATGAGAATGATGGTAGGCTTGGAGAGAGATTCTTTTAGAGAGGGATCAGATATTGAAAAATAATGTACAATAGGATGATGTCAAGGTCACGCATGACAACTTTCATATTAATCACGAGAGTTACATTTATGTTAATATCAGTGTTCTAAAATATGTGTACATGCGAAGTATAGAGTCAAAATGATGCTCAGGTCATGAGTGACAACTTTTATAAGAATTAATTTGCGACTATGAATTGTGACTTCTGTTGTGTGAGCTTGGAATACCGAAAATGGGCTTTGAATGAAGTTGCAGGTAGGAGACATTGTTATCTTCCCACCAAACCATACGTGTCAAGGGGCGATATATTCCTGGCAAGGCATGAACCCATAATATATCACCTAAAAAAATATTAAATTTTTATAATTGAAAAATAATATTCATAACCTTATTATTTATATATAATTTTCATAACTTTGTTATTTAAAAGAATAAATTTTAAAATTTATTAAAATCTGAAATGATACCATGTAATTCATATTTTACATGGTAAAATCTTATGTTAATTCATGTAATGGCAATAAAGCCAGTCAAAAGATTGAGAAATATATTCTTACCTACCTCATATAACCCATAATGAAGACCTATATAATTACTGAAAATAAGCAGATTATTTTGTCATAATTCATAAAATAAAGAAAGTCCAAGGTCAAGAAGAGCTCTACCATGCTAATTCCTCTCCTCTGTTTGGCACTCTTGCCATGCCTTTTTACTCCAGGTACATTTGTCCTTAACAAATTATAATAATATTTTATTAATTTCTTTTGAGTTCTTGTAAATGCCAAATTTACATTTTTCCAATGTTTAGTTGTGCTAATTTCTTTATTATGATATTTGTTGAAAAGCAAATGGCCTGATCGAAATGTGTCCCGTAATTTTTCAAACATCAACTCCATGCGGTGAAGATCCATGTCTTGTTGAAGGGACGCGACGATATTCTTCAAGTAGTCAAATTCAAGATTGCGTATGTTACAAAGTTTCCCCAACTGTAAATCAATGCAGATGCAAGATAATTTGTAGTAATACTTAATTACCCAGCCATTCCTTCAGCCATCGTCTCGCCTCATACCCAACCTTGGGCATGGCACCACACCCCATATTACGACTTATGAATATATCAATAAATAATTGTGTTTCTTTTTAATGTGCTATTGCGTAATGGATTGTTAATACTATATGATCCTTATTTGTTCTAAACACCGTATCGAAAAAAATTATTTATATATGTTTGGTTTGGATTAAAATTCAATTCAAATCTCACTTCAAATTCAACAATTAATTTTAATCACACATTTCATGGGACTCATAACTTTTCAATCACACATTTCATCGAACTTTTATTAAAATCTACTAAAAATCTGATTTTAATTTTTACCAAACATGAGCTAGTAATTTGATTTACTGAGCATGCTCTAGTAGAAAATGACTATACCATCATTTATAGTTTGAAGAGAAGGACTCTAGATGGATTGAACGACCTAAAGCACAATGTCCCAAAATTCAAATGTGGATTTATAACCAATATATAAAGTTTGGACTACTCTGTTTAACAAAGTTGACATTTTAAAATGGAACCACAAGTTTTATAAATATGGTATCAGAACCTAATAAATTCCATGAGCAATTCAATCCGATTAAAATTCAAACGAGTATACAGATTTTAAAATTGATTTGCTTGAATGAGCCATTATCTTGCGAGATATGTTAAGGGATAAACCCCAAATTGAAAAATTATAGAATAAATAATCTATATATAAGAATTTGTACTAACCTTTTGAGATGGAATCTTAAGTCTTAATAGCCATTAACTTCATTCTAGTCACCCTAAGTGAACATTCTCCAATTGGTGCTACCACTATGTTAAGTTATGGAGTCTAATTATTGTCGTTTTGCATAATCAATATGCAGATTGATATCTCTGGTAAGATCAGTGTAGGGGTTTCCTCCAAAGGGTGTAGAGCCCCTGTACCAAGATTTCACTAAGGATAGATTATGAATTTTAAACTTGTAATTTCGATTTTGTCATGATTTGTTTAATAAATAGAGTCACCATTAGGATTTTGTATTATCATAAAAAAAAGTGATTATGTGTAATTTTCTCTTGTAAACTTCTTTTTATCATAGTAAATATTGTAATGTCGAAAGAGTATGTAGTCTCTTATTGAAGCGAACTTTTATAAATCTTGTGTGTTTTTATGTGTCTATTTTATTTATACGATTTAATTACTCTCGATGACTTGGAATTAATGTTTCATTATCTCAACACACTACAGTAAAAAAGAATGCGAGTGCACATTCTCATGCTATTACCCTTGCAATGACCGAAAGGAATAAACTTTATTCTCAGGGCTGGCTCTAGTCTAAGGCAACCTAGGCCATTGCCTTGAGCCTCAATTCTTGATGCTCAAAAAATTAAAAACCCAAAAATTCAGCAAGAAAATTACTTTATTTTTTTAGTTGAATTCTTTATTCCATTTAAAAGACATGACTAATGGCCTGTTTGTTTTATATTCTCAAATTCTACAGTAAATCAATTCTCATTTTCAACCAGACAGTCTTCAATAAAATAATATTTTTCATCACATCAATAATTTTTTCTTCTTTTTTAACCACACAATTCTCATCATATCACTATTCAAAAATTAATTATTCCTCCACAAATACCCACCAAACAAGCACTTTGACTTGTATTTTTCTTTTCTTCCTTTGCTAATTCTTCGAGAGATAGACACAGCTAGTTCGTAGGCGCTTAACGTAGTGCAGCGGGAACCAACGACCGATTGTATCCTGGGAATCGAACACCGTTCAAAACTTCGTGCACCCCGGTGAGGCGGCGAATTCGATTTAAGGAAACCGTGTAAACACGGACCTTCGGTTTGATTGATTACTTTGATTCTCCAATTATTTTATCCTACAAGAACTTCATAATAATTTGTCGCCTAGGGCCTCGAATATGTTAGGGCCGGCTTTGCTTATTCTCATGCTAGTCCAACCACCACTGCAAAAAAGACTAAACCTGCAACTTCTCCTAGTGGTGCCATAAAAATCTAGGAACTAGGTTATATGGACCAAGTGTTGCATGACAGAAATTGTGAGCACCAAGTTGGGGGTAAAAGGTTCATGACTTGGCAAAAACTGCTGCAAACAGGTTGTGGAAATGGGGCTCAAGTGCCATGTCTTGATATAAAGGCTCCTGTTCCGCAAGGATCTTTTTCCTAAAAATGCCAAAACCTCAAAACATAGTTTTGGTACTAGGGAAAATAGTGCTGCGCAAATTACCTTGATCAGGCTATAGACTTTCGAAATGTCTACTGAACGTAAAGAACATGTAAAAGAATTTCATACTTTTCAGCACCCCTTTTTGTGTGAATCATTACTTAAATCACAATGTTATCCCAACTTTCTCATTTTCCGCTAGTCCAAAAAAAGTGATAAGCTTCTTGAGCTATTAGGGTTATATATGTTGGCTCATTCTGTTAAACTATTTGTAAACACTCAAATCACTTTTTATCCACACATTTTGAGAAATTCACAAATACTAACCATTTATTCGCAACACTCGAGAGTGATAGAAGGGTTGGAAAGATATTCCTTCGAGGGAGGAATAAAAAATTGTTGACAGTACTATATAGCCTACAGTTTGTTAACGGCTTTCTTCTCTTCCTCTAAACATGTCACTAAACGGCCATTTCCTTCTTTTGCGTCTTCTATTCTTTCAAATTAAAGGATCCAATATTATTTTTACGCTATACTTAAATGACCACTTATATCTCAATTCATTTTTCTTCACGTTTATGTCACACGCATCACACATGACTTACTATTAATAGATTTTATCAAAATCTAGGTGACCCCAACTCAGATTATAATGAATTTCGTAAATATTTAGGTTCCTTCAATAATTACTAGAATTCTAAGGATTTAGATATATTAGAAATCCATTAAATTCAATAAATCCATTACAAATTTCTAGAATTTTGTTAAAATCTTATAAATTCAGTGAAACGTATTCAAATCCATGAGTATTCATAAATTTTAAGAATGCCTAATTTTTAATTGAATCTATTAAAATCTGAATTAATAAGAACACCTAGATTTTTAAAATCATAGTTGAGAGCTCCATAATATTTACTTTATATAGCAAAATCCCATGTTGATTTATGTAATGAAATTACAAGCAAGTCAAAAGACACGCAAAAATAAGCTCAACTACGTGAAATAACATACAATTAAGAGTTAAAAGAGCTATATAGTAACTAAGGATGAGCAGATTAATTTATCATAACACATAAAACAAAACGAGTTCAAGGCCATGAAGAGCTCTACCTTGCTAATTCCATTCCTCTGTTTGGCACTCTTGTCATGCCTTTTTACTCCATCTATAGGTACAATATTTGTCCTTAAGAAAGAAATTATAATAATATTTTTATAA